CTCGCGCTCGCGCTCGCGCTCGCTCTCGCTCTCGCTCTCGCTCTCGCTCTCTCTCTCTCTCTCTCTCTCCCTCTCCCTCTCCCTCCCTCAACCCATCGACTCTGTAGAGCTTCATGCTCATGCTCTTATGGTTGCAGGTGCACAGAAGCTGAAGTATTGGTCACGATCATCGGTCTGCTTGATTCTCTCAGTTACAACGACAGGAGAAATTGATGTACATCTTTTCGAATCGCTTCCTAATTTCGTTTACTTCTATAGAGCTTGATTCTCCCCTTGCCCGTCTCGCTCTCACTTTTCTTGCATGCTATGTTTGACATTGCTACTGCCCGTCGATTTCGCCCCACCCTGCCGGCTCTGAACAGCAGTGGGCCTATGGGCTGACTACTTAAATTATGAATTGTGGTGAGTGTGGTGCTTCTCTCCGGAACTCTCCGAGAAATGGCTCCACCATCTCGCAGTGTCCATGCCGAAGAACAACTTAAGGGCATTATCGCATTCACAAAGCTCGTGAGACAATGCTCGTGCACCTCTGCATGTGGGCATTTCGGTGGAGGATTTCGCGCCTCAAATCGCTTCAGGTGCTGTGTAGTTGCGGATGGGAGGCAAACCGCGGGCTGCACTTCGAGCCCGCTGGCACCCCAAGGTGGAGGGCCAGTCAGCGTAGTGCTACTCAAGCCTCCTGCTCACCTTAGCCGACTCAGCGTGCATTAGAGACAGGCTTGAAGCTCTATAGCAATCTCAGCCCTTGTCCATGTTGCCGTCAGAGGAGACCCTGCACCATCTCCTTAATATAATGATGGCAGGATGTGCTTGGTTTCTCAGTCAGCCGGTACCAACATGTACAAACCTGTCTGCTGTTCCACTTCTATTTAATCAAAGCAGCAAGAAGTTCCGCATGCCTTGTTCCTGTGATACGGCCTTTCATCTCACCGTCCTTTCACAGGAAGCTGCGTGAATGCTCCCAATCAAGCGTGGCACGGAGAACGGCAGACGAGAATGTGCGGAAGGATTGTGGGGTACACTTGAACATTTCCAGCCCGATTAGCAAAGACTTCGGCAGCCCATCACAACGCGATTCAGAGCAGCACAGTCAAGTCCGGCAGCCTTGAACACGATGAACGTAGGCAGCTCCCGAACTTCCATTTCAGAATACCTGCCAGGACAGACCAACCGTGTGTTAAAAGAAGTGCCTCGAATCCATCGACATCGAAATCGATTCATGACTCATGACGCTTGTGGCACACAAGACTAAACCAATCTCCGCGTGATTTTGCAAAAAATGCACCTACCGGGCAATCCGCCAGGCAGCCACCAATTCTCTGATACTGCCTGCCCAGTAAAGAACCTGATTCAGCCAAGGCACAAGGGCCTCATTTGCTTGGCATTCTTGCCTGTCGCGGCGAAAGTTTCAGGCGCCTAGAACCCTAAGCAGCTTTCCGGGTCAGGACCAAGTTTCTTCCACGGCTTCCCTCTGCTCTGATGGATTTCTGACCCGTCTCGCACATTCCATTTCGGCCATTGCAAAACCCTGAAGAAGTCCGGGTAACTTTCACATTCCAGGAACCAAAACGTCAGCGCTGCATTCTGATCCGGAGTATAGGTTGAGAGGCAGAACAAGACCTGGCCAACACCCCCAGGCCTGGTTCCAAACTGATCTTAACCACCTTGACCCCATCGTCTGCATATTTGGCCTCAACCGGCGCCAGATCGAGAAAACTCTGCATGCATGTTGGGTACGCCTGCGTGTGCGTGTGTGTGCATGCGCACGTGGTTTCGTGTGCGCCCTTTACCCCTCGGTCTTGTACCTCGTGATGGGATCGTGGACGCACATGCCTGTGCCTGCAGCTGCCTGCAACAACCGTTTGTGACATCGTGATGTTTTGCGGTATTGCGGATTCGCTGTTGAATCACATTACAAGTATTAGCTGCTTAGTTGTTGGATATAGCAAGAGACTACGCCGAGAACCTCACGTTGCGGCTTATATGTGCCACTATGTGCCACTTATGGGCCTCTTTTTAGTCTTCGTGTGGTCTGCGGATGGTACTGGCTGATTTGCTCTAGGTCTTTGCTCTTGACCTTTGGGTGGTCGTCGGATCGGCTGCTCGTGGACTTGTACTGGTCTGGGAATGGTGAGTTTTGGACTGTTTACCGGCGAACGCTCGGCTTAGCGAGGCAGGCTTGAAGCACCATTTCATCTTCGATCTCAACATTCCTGTTAAACACATGATGCGATGTGGACTCCAAGTCTTGGATTGCACCATATTGCACCTTTCTGGCTTCGACATATAGGAACCTCAATAAACGTCAATGTCTGCGCATGTGTCTCTGCGTGCGCGTGCGTGCGCGTGTGTGCGTGTGTGTGTGCGTGTGAGCGCGTGCGTGTGCGTGTGCGTGTGCGTGTGCGTGTGCGTGTGCGAGTGCGAGTGCGTGTGCGTGTGCGTGTG